TTGCTTTCTCCTACCACAACACGGCTGCAGACTCTGCATATGGACGTCTGTGGCCCTGCCCGGGTCCATGGTCTTCGCAGGGAGTGTTTCCTTTTGATCTTGGTTGACAACTTGGTGCGCTTCACAACGGTGTTCCCACAAGAGTAGAAGGACAACGTGCCTGATGCTCTCATCCCGTGGTTGCTCGCCTCCCGCACCCAGCGCCCCATGCTCGTGCTCCATCTGCACTCAGACCGTGGTGGCGAGTTTGCCTCTAGCCATCTTGGAGTGTTTTGCCGTGCAGAGGGCATCACCTAGACACACACACTGCTGGACTCCCTGCAGTAGAATGGGGTCGCTGAGCGACGCATCGGCCTGGTCATGTAGGTAGCTCTCACCTCCCTGTTCCATGCTCGTGCACCCCATTTTCTCTGGCCGTTCGTAGTACGCTACACAGCTCACGAGCTTAACTTGTAGCTTCGCCTATTGCATCAACTGATTTCGCCGACCCTCCTCTAGACCGGGTCCCCTCGAAACGCCTCTGCGTTCCACCTCTAGGGCAGCCTCGCTTACGTCCGTGCCAGTAGCGCAGACAAGCTCTTAGCCCGCACTCTCCCTTGTGTCTTCCTTGGGTTTCCGCTTGACGCCCCTGACTGCCTGTTCTACCCCCCGGTACATCACTGCTTCTACCACTAGCGTGATGTTACCTTCCATGAGGCGGTTCCCTACTACATTCGCTTCCCTCACCGTGGCTCTAGTATCCCTCCTCCTCCTCTCTTCCTTGCCCCTACACTGCCTGCCGCGCACCTCCCACCCCGCCCGTCCCCGTCTAGTGTCTCATACGCCACCCCGTTACCCTCGGTTGGGCCAGAGGGGGAGTCTGCTGAGTCAGGGGTCCCTTTCGTTGCGGGTGCGCCTGCCGCCCTTCGGCACCTTCCCCCCCAGCCTGGTGCCCCAAGCACCTCAACAGCCTCCCACCTCGCCGCACCAGCCTCAGCGGCCATAGCCGCAGCGTCCTCAGCGGTCGTAGCTAGAGAAGCAGCAGCTGACAGTGGGCTCTTAGGGTGCTGGTGCTGCTGCTGCTCGACACCGACACCTGGACCGCCAGCTACACGGCGGCTACCTCCAGAACACTCCACTCCAGCACCCCCAGAACGAGTACTCTCAGAGCAATTACTCTCCAGCACCGGTGCCACCCCCGAGCTGGCCGGGACAAGCCACGACAGAAACCTCAGGACTAGCATCCTCCTCAACGCCAGCACCCCCAGAGGCCACAAACGGCTGCTTTTGCTGCGACGGCGGCGGCGGTGACTACGACGGCGGAGGAGGAGACACCGGGGGAGAGACAGACGGCAAGAACTGTGCCGCAGGGCCACCAGAGTCAACCGACTCCTCGACCGGGACAACCGACGGGAGGGGAGTGACGTGAGACACACCAGATGGAGCAGGATGGGGAGGAAGGTGAGCAGGGGCTAACGGGGGAGTGGGGACCAGAAACAGGGGAGGGGAAACTAGGAGACCTTGGTGGGGAAAGCGGTGGTAAAAGGAGACAGACTCGGTGAAAGTGGCGTTACGGGAGTGAAAGAAGCGGTGAGACGGCGGGTGGTAAAAGTGCCAGTCAGAGGAGTCCAGGGGGGAACCGAGGAAGACACAGCGGACAGTGCGGGCAGTGAGCTTGTCCGTGCCAGAGGCATGAACGTGAGCGAGGCAACCCCAGACGTGGAACGCAGATGCGTCACCAGGGAACCCCGGTCCAAAGAAGGGTCGGCGAAACCTGCGGCCGTTGAGAGCGCGGCCAGAGGTTAAGCTGGTGAGCGGCGTAGCGAACGGCGAACGGCCACAGAAAATGGGGTGCACCTGCATGAATCATGGAGGTACGAGCCACCTCCATGACCAAGCTGATGCGTCGCTCAGCGACCCCCATTCTGCTGCGGGGAGTCCGGTAGGGTGTACGACTGGGTGATGCTCTCCGCACGACAGAACTGTCCAAGCCGACCAGAGGCGAAGTCGCCGCCACAGTCAGAGTGGAGACACAGCACATGGACACCGCGGTGGAGGCGCGCTACGACCCACGGGATAAGAACGTCAGGCATGTCGGCCTTCCACTCCAAAGGAAACACCGTGGTGTAGCGCGTGAAGTCGTCGACGAGGACGAGAAAGTAGCGCTCGCGACGCGATCCAGGGACGGGGGCTGGGCCCCAAACGTCCAGGTGCAGGGTCTGGAGGGGTGCAGTGGCAGGACGAAGCAAGGAGGAGTGAGGAGCACGGCGGGGCCGGCCCTCGACGCAAGGCGTGCACGGCGGCGCAGGCGAGGGAGGGAGGGCAGAAAACGGCGCAGGGAGGCCTAGGACGAGACCGTGCTGGGACATGTGACACAGACGCGGGAGCGCGGGGTGACCTAGGCGGTGGTGCCACATAAGCGATGGGGGAGTGAGCGACCGACACGAGCACGCAGCGACGACCTGGGTAGACGCAGGATCCGGGGGGAATGGTCCAACTGGGGGGGGAGTAGTGTCCAGCGTAAAGAGGCCAGACACCGGGTCCCAGGGGAACGTCGCAAGGGGAGAACCTGAGGCGGCCTCGGTACAGACGGCGTAACGCTCGTGACCCGGGAACTTAGTGGTGACGCCGAGGTCCTGAAGACAGTCGACACCAACTAAGTTCCTGGAGAACGAGGGGATGTGGAGGCCTATAAAGGAGCCTGAGGGAACTGCTGGACAGGGAACTACAGGACCAGAGGAGGGGTCAGCAAGTGCGATAGCGGCAGGCGCGGTAAGCGGCGTAAGCGCAGCGTGGTCACGGAAGAAGCAGGCATACGCACCGGAGTCAATTGTGAAGGACAGCGAAGCAAAAGCGATAGCCAAAGGAGCAGAAAGTGTGAAGCCTAGGCTAGACAAAGCAAACAGTCCTACGCCTGACGCAGCAGGGGAGTCTGTACTGCACACAGGTGCCATGCCTAAGCTAGCGAACATAGGGTAATAATATCTAGACACACTAGAAGCGTCAGCATATAGAGAATGCAGGGCTGAACTAATCTGATCCATGTCTAAGTCAAAAACAGGCACACCGTGGCGCAGCAAATTGGGCCAGTCGGGGAGGTCCGGGGCCGGGCCGAAGCGGCGGCGGAGGTTGTCGATGCGGTGGAAGCAGCGGGCGGTCGGGTGCGGGCGGCGGCACACAGTGCGACGAAGGGGCCCGGTCTGGAGCTGGTACTTGCAGCCCACAGCACCGAAGCCATAGCGACCACGGCGGACATGTCAGTGTACGTGCACTGGGAGGGAGCGCAGCTGTGAAAGATAGGGACTGCCGCAACACCGCTCGACTGAGCGATAGTGCGCTGGAGAGTCTCTATCTCAGAAAGGGCATTGACAAAGGCGGTCAGGGTGAGGTCACCAGGGTGCTGGCTAAGGAGGTGATCGCGTGCAGTGGCTAAGCGGCCAGGCAGGTGCATGGCAATAAGGTACTGGATAGCGCAGAACGGCAGGGGAAAGGCAGCGAGCTGGGCTGTAGTGTTAGCAGTGCGGTAGCTAGTCTCTAGTGCACAGAGGTGAGTGACAAGATCAGCGACAGTAGGGAAAGTAGAGAGATCGGGGAAGAGCATGGGGAGGATCAAGCGTCCAGCTGAGGCGGAGGCAGGCGTGGAGTAGCGTGCAACTACGACATCTAGGAAGTCTTTGGCGTTTGCAACATCAGTGAAGCGGGGACGCTCAGAGAGGGGAAGCGCATGACTAATGGCAAACTGCGCTACAGCATCGCGGGAATCCCAGAGAGTGCGAGCGAGCGCAGCAGCAGCAAAGGCCTCACTCTCAACAGCGGTGGGGTCAGCAGGGAGGGGATCAGGCGCGGGGGTGCGGGGAAGCAAGCCATCAATATGCATAGCCAGGGAGTGCCCATCCTGGCGCTGACCTGTCAGGTGCCGGCGAAGATCGACAAGCCAGGCGGCGAAGTCGATCGCGTGCCCCTCCGCGTCCAGGCGTAGCATGGCGTCAGACATCGCGCACCCGCAGCGGCACCGGGACACAGCGGCGCAGCGGCAAAGGGACACAGCGGCACAGGGACACGGGTACTCAGGTGCATGGTGGTGCAGCGGCGTGGCGGCAGGACTCTCCGGAACGGAGACCGGGCGGACGGTCGAGAAGGGCGCAAGAGGGCCGAGACGCACGAGGGGCCGGCCAGGCGCACGAAAGGCCGGGCAGGCGCGGGAAGGGCCGGCGCGTAGAGAGGGGCCGGCAAGGCGCGTGAGGCCGGCGGTGCGCAGGAGAGGCCGGCTAGGCGGTAGGGGCCGGCTAGGCGCGAGGGGCCGGCTGGGTGAGAGGGGCCGGTAGGCGCAAGGGGCCAGATAGGCGCGAGGGGCCGGCTAGGCGCGAGAGGGGCCGGCTGAGCGCAAGGGGCAGGCTGCGGCGGGAGAGGGGCCGGCTAAGCGCGAGGTGCCGGCTAGGCGTGAGGGGCCGGCTAGGGCACGAGAGGGGCCGGGTGGGCGCGGAGGGGCCGACTAGGCGCAAGGCTCCGGCTACGGCGCGAGGGGCCGGCTAGGCGCGAGAGGGGCCGGCTAAGCGCGAGGAGCCGGCTGGGCGCAAGGGGCCGGCTGCGGCTCGAGAGGGGCCGGCTAAGCGCGACGGGCCGGCTAGGGCGCGAGAGAGGGGCCGGCTGGGCGCGGAGGGGCCGACTAGGCGCGAGGGGCCGGCTACGGCGCGGGGCCGGCTGGGCGCGAGAGCCCGACTACGGCGCGAGGGGCTGCCTACGGCGCGAGGGGCCGGCTACGGCGCGAGAGGGGCCGGCTGGATGCGAAGGGGCCGACTAGGCGCGAGGCGCGAGAGGGGCCGGGGGACGCGCTAGGGGCCGGCGAGGCGCGGTAGGCTAGGGCGCTGGGCGGAAGCGGGTGAGTGGACCTAACCTACTCATGATACCATGTTAGAATACTAGAATGAATTAGAAATGAGAGAGAACAAGGGAGATATAGGGTTTGGGTTGCACTCTCTAAGAACACACACCTATTCTAGCCTATAACTTCTACATGCACAAGTATGTTTAAGTTGACACAACCTTCAGTCTCGATAAGAGCACATGAGCAGCTTCAGCCATCTGTTCCAGATCATCCAACCAGCCTAAAACACCACACTCAACAAACCACCCACCAGCCTAAAACACCACACTCAACAAACCACCAACCAGCCTAAAACACCACTCAACAAACCACCAACCAGCCTAAAACACCACACTCAACAAACCACCAACCAACCTAAAACACCACACTCAACAAACCACCAACCATCCTAAAACACCACACTCAACAAACCACCAACCAGCCTAAAACACCACACTCAACAAACCACCAACCAGCCTAAAACACCACACTCAACAAACCACCAACCAGCCTAAAACAACACACTCAACAAACCACCAACCAGCCTAAAACACCACACTCAACAAACCACCAACCAGCCTAAAACACCCTTTCCAGCAGGATGCAAAAAAGGTCGCCTCTCGTATCTCCGCATTCCCAACACCCCACCTCTTGTCCATCAGTAGCTTTGCTGCTCTGTGCTCTCTCCCCCCATCAATCCACTCTCCAACTCGCAGTGCTTGCTTGCTGCGACCATACAGCAGGTCTCAAGGTCTCCAATGAGGCCTCGTTGCTTCTGCCTTGGTCGCCCTGGCGGACTGCCTTCCTCTGCATCCCACACTGCCATTCCTCTTCTGCTGCTGCCTTGCTCTGCTACCTAATGTAGCTGCAGGATGCGCCACCACAACAAGGTCGACATTTGATGATGTTTCCGCTGCAGTAGCTGCTTTTCTGGCTGGTCGTGGCTTGGGGATGAGGGATGGTAGCAGGCTGGCACTTGCTGCTGCCTTTCTTGCAAGGGACTTGCTAGTTCGCGCTGAGTCACACGTCCTTGCAGTGAGCTTCACAGCAGGAGTCGCCATTGTCTCCACAGCTGATGAGCTAAAATCATCCGTCCTTGAAGCCAAGTTGACAACAGCGATCGCCATTGTATCCCCAGCTGATGACATCACATCACCGTTGCTGCTAACATCACAGCTGCTGACGATGCTGCTGACCCCGTTTGAAATGTTACCACAGCAACTGATGCCGCTTACAATGCTGGTCGCGTCACTGAACGAGATCAGGGGAGTGATGCAGTTGCTGTCAGCCGCGCTGCTGACCTTGTCGTTACCACTGGAGCTGACCTCGTTGCTGTCAGTGCTGCAGCTGACGTCACTGATGCCACCGTTCTAGCTGACGTCATTGCTGCCACCGCTGCAACTGACGCCACTGGAGCCACTGCTGCTGCTTGCTGTGCTGCTGAGGGAGACCACGGAACTCGTCTCCAAGAAGGGTGTCTTAATGGAAGCGACGTTCGTGGAGGTGCTGCTGTGGACGACCTCGTTCAGCGAGCTCGTCTCCTTGGCAGCCAAGCACGGACTCGCTGAATTGCGAGTTGACGAGCTCAGCGGCACAACCTGCTTCTGGATCACGCATTGGAGTTCCCACATGCGACGGGCTTCAGAAACCGAAGGGTAGACATAGGATGCCATGAAAACAGCTAACAAAAGCTGAGACGAGTCGAAAGCTGTGAGCATAGAGTGACAGAAAGTAGACGCTCTGCGAACTGGAGTTTGCTGAAAAGTTGCTCAAACTGAACAAGCTGCAGGAATCTGAAAATGGGATTATGGGACTGCAGATTTGTACCAGACACAGACTCCGTCGGACAGAGGGAAGAGCAGGCAGAGGAGAGAGCGAGGAATCCTTAGAGGGGTTGTCGGAAGGGGGGACAGTGTAACAACCAAGACTATTATAGTAGGGTTAGACCAAGCAAGGAATGCTCTCCAATCTAATAATAACCCTAGCTTATCCCTATGGTAGCCTTGAGGTTGTTGGTGAAGTCTTCAAAGGAGAGGCTTGAGTGAAGAAGTCCTTGAGAGAGTTGTGTAGGGGAAGCTGTGAGGAGAGCTCCAAGGCTTAGAGAAATCCCATTTCCAAATTAGATTGTTGGAGTTGGGAAATGGAGAATGAGCTTGTGAAAGCCCAACCCCTTCCTAGACCCCTTGGGGAGATCCAAATCCTCCATGGCAACAAGGTGGAGGAGCTCCTAGAGTTGAGTTGCTTAGGTGGCATTTTAGGTTGGGTTGCTACCCATTTGAGAGCAAGTGTGTGGAAAAAAATGTTGGATTGAGTTGGTTGTAACACCAACTGTCAATCTGTGGTTGGTTGTAAATCCAACCATTGGTTGGCAATGTGTAGGCTTGGGAATTCCCAAGCCTCAACATAAAGGGTTGGAATGTCCAAACCACATTTGCCTTGGATTGGGTGGTTAACCACATTTGTACACCCAACCCATCCTTCCCTAGCACAACTTTCTCATGCGTGCGACCTAGCGCAGGTCACGCTATGGCGCCCTAGCTAGGTCGCGCCACTTGCGCTAGGCAGATTTAGTATGCGTTACAGACAGAGTCGACGGGCAGGAATGGACTTTTGCACCTTTGCCCGAGCGGCTCCAGAAGAGTCGGAAGCTGCCCAGCCTGAACATTTCACACCGACTCTGAAATAGATCTGCTGAAGGAACGAAAATGAATTCCTCGGAGGCCTGTGGGGCAGGAGTACGACGCCAGAACCTTGTCTTCCGCTGACCCTAAGCAGTTGTGTTTGCTGCCAGTTCTGTGACAGCGTGCCTGCCCGCGTAAAAAATGTGATTTCCTGTTCGCGAAGCCGCTCTCTCTAGGATCGAAGGGCGATTCCCAAGGGAAGCAGGCGTGTGAAACATACTCGGGGAGAGACATGGAACCGCCAGCGACAAAAACACGCAATGATGTGGATCTGGTAACCGTGAAAGTCAGGAAGCGCCGACGAGGAAAACGAATTACGAGGTGGTTACCCGACACAATTCGCCCATAATGTCCGCTCTAGAGGCTGCGGCAAAATCTCGAGGGTCATACTGCAAATGAAGGGCCTACCTCATGGTCGTGAGCATCTCGAGGCTAGTGGTTAGGGCGTGTCCAGTTCGTTCGTATACTATTCACTTTGCATATCAGGTACGGAATTTCGACCTGGTAACCCGAAATTTCCTGACCACTCGGACACACACGGGAAATTGACGGTTTTGGCGGACACCCTCCAAACGTGCCCACACACGTGGGCCGCATGTTTCCGAACCGAATGGAGATTGTACAGACGGCAGGAACGTCCAAAACCTGGCTGGCGAAAAATAGAACGCTTACATTCGCCATGCTTTCGTGACGCATGCGAAGCACCGGGCGGGCCTCTTTCCGGGGCAGAATTCGGTTACCCTGATGTTTTCGCGTGCCAGTCTGTTATGTGCGCGCTGCGCACCCGCTCATTTGTCGAGACACGGGCGGAACACATGTTCGCGTTTTGCTGTTGATACTGTAGGTGTACCTCAACACATTTACACTTGGTGTTTCAATATTTCGGCGTGTTAAAAAAATGTCAAAAACTCGTGTTGGGGCAAAATGAATGCGCTGGACACGCCCTTAGGACAGAATCAAACTTCAGTAATTCACCTACAGGATCCGTACTAGGTGAAATCGAGGTGGGTGGGAAAAAGTGTCCTCGTTACGGCGCTTCTCTCGTTGTCAAACCTTCCAGCCATCAATGTCAACCCCTCGGAATAGCCGATATTGGTTACTTCCAATCTCAACAAGTCATGTAATTTGGAAGAGAATATTAACATATCCTACAAAACTTAACTAGTATTTCAGCTGGAAATCGGTGCTAGTTTTCTTTGTTGTAGTGTTCTAAGAGACTAATGTATCCTTAGAACCTCCTCCTAGATTCAAGGATGCTTAGGAACCAAGTTGGACATGACTTATTCTTAGGAGGCACCATCGAATCCAAGAAGTGTGTTTCAACCAAGTCACAACCAGCCCTGAAGGATCTAGGAGTTTACCCTCTAGAAGCATTCCCAATCCAACCGAAGTACTCTATACTACCAAACGTATAGTCAATCAGCTATATGTGTGTTTATTGGCGCAACCTAGATATTCCCATAATTCCAACACCCCCCTTGCTCCAATACGCACCAATTCCACTCTCCATTAAAAAGATAACTCTGTTAGATTAGCAGAATGACTAGAATCGACGGATACAGAGGAACATATGGTTGGGTGTTGTACCCTCTAAGATCACAAGCCCTTCTAGCCTATAACTATACATCTGCAAATATGTATAAGTTGACACACCCCCTAGGCTAGACAAGGGGCAGTGCCTAGTAAGAGACACACAGCTCAGGGTGGCACTACTAGTCCAACCTCCGAGACAAAGGTCTAAAGACCAGTCAGCAAGATTACAAGCTAAACAAGAGTAAAACCATGGTGGAACTACTAGTCCAGCCACTGGAAAACGAACCACAAGACCAGTCAAGATAATACGAGTAGTACACAATCAGGTTCCTAGCAAGTGAGGAGCTACTGGAACTAGACCAAGCTGTACACAGTGCCACTGATGACCTTTAAGCATAAGCGCCTTCGTAAAGATATCAGCTGTGTGAGCATCGGAGGCCAAGTGTACTACGCGGGCCTGGCGGCGCTGCTGTAGCTCGCGCAGGAGGAAGTACCATAGCTGGATGTGCTTCGCTCTGCCCTCTAGTCGAGGCTCCTGACACAAGAGGATCATGGCCCTATTATCAGCGTACAGAACCGGGGCAAAGCTAGGCCGCTCACCTAAGTCAGTGAGCAAGAAGGTGAGCCAGCGGAGCTCCAGTGCCGCCATGGCACCGGCGTAGATCTCAGCCTCATAGCTAGACTGTGCAACAGACGACGAGCGGGTGGACCTCCACGAGATGGCACCAAAACAAATGCTAAAGCAGTAGCCCTGGGAGGACCTGAGGGTCTCAGCATCGTCTGCCCAAGAACCGTCTGTGTGCCTAGTAAGGACCACTGGCCTGCGTCCTCCCAGCACTAGCCCCATGCCCGATGTACTTGCTAGATAACGCAAAACCCTCTTATCGGCCGACCAGTGCTGTGGTCGGTGTCTACTTGTGGCCACAAAGCGAGCCAGGATGCTGAGAGGGTATGCAAGATCTGAGCGAGTGCAAGTCATGAGGTATATGAGGCAATCCACTAGCTCTGCATAAGGACCACTGGGCTCTACTGACTCCTCAGGAACTGGAGCAGAGAGCCTGTGGTCTACTGGCAGAGGCGTGGGTTGTGCGGAGGAGAACTGAAGACCGAACCTCTGAAGGACCTGGCGCACCAAGTGTGACTGTGTGAGAGTGATGGTGCGTGCTGCTCTGTCCCTGGAGATCTGCAGGCTAAGGTAGCGACGCAGCTCTCCTAGGTCAGTTCAGGTATGTCTCTTCAGCAGCTTGGCCTTTATGGAAGCCAGTGCGTCTCTGTCTGCAGTAGCGAAGACCAGGTCGTCTATGTAGACAAGGATGTAGAACGGAGTTTGGCCAGCACGAACGAAGAGCGAGGGGTCTGCAGACGACGAGAAGAATTGCAGGTCAGCTAGCGTAGCATGCAAACTGTCGTGCCACTCACGAGGCGCATGTCGGAGGCCATAGACCGGGCGCCAAAGGAGCCACTGGGTCCCAGGAGGGAAGGTACCGGTGAAGCCCTGTGGGCGGCGCAAGTAGACCTGCTGTTGTAGGCTGCCCTGAAGAAACGCAGTGGTGAAGTCGAGGGAGTGGAGCTCGTATTCACAATGTGGTGCTATATGTTGCAGCGTCCAAAGAGTAGTCATCTTCGGGGTCGGGGCGAAGGTGTGAAAGAAGTCCACACCCTCGCACTGACTGAAGCCCCTAGCCATGTAGTGTGCCTTGAACCTAGGCGGCTCTCCAGGGGGACACTTCACCTTGAAGAGCTACCGACCATCGACTACGTTCACCCCAGGTAGGGGAACTGCGTCGATGTAGGTGCCGGTGGATCTCCAAGATGCTATCTCCTGCTCCATGGCAGCTATCCATTGAGAGGCTCAGGGTCCCGAGGTCGCTTCAGCGTAAGTGCGAGGGGTCGGGATGTCAAAGACGTCTGGGTTACTGTCAGGGACTAGCAGCATGAAACAGAGATGGGGAGCAGCCTCAGACAGGAAAGCAAGCTCGTACTGCCTGTCCTCTAGGACGTCACTGCCAAGGGCAGGAGCACCCACGACGGACGAAGGGCAGTCAGGGTCAGAGACCAGTGCTGTGGCGTAGTCAAGGCGGTGGGTAGAGGCGAAGTCAGTAACAAGAGCGTCAAGACTAGAGACAGGAACAGACGGGTCGGTAACAAGGGAGGCATGGACCCGAGGAACAAGAGGACGAGCGCACAAAGATAGTCAGACATTGGGGGAGGCGCGACAACAAGCGAGGACGGAGGAGGTGACGGGAGGAGAGGAGGACGAGAAATATGGGAACGAAGCAACATTGGGTGAGATTGCTGAGCAGGAGAGACAGGACGAGCATGAGAAGGACGGCGAGACCAGATGTAAGACAGAGGCGTCGGGTCAGGAGACAGAGGAGGAGACACAAGAGGGGAACGAGGGGGAAGACGAGCCGAAGACGAGTCCGGCAGAGGGAACACAGGGCCGTACATAGGAAGAGGAGGGGCCGAGGGAGGCATAGGCAAGCAGTCAGGGGAGGGAAGGTTGAGCAGGCGAAGGGCGGGCACCGGCGACGACTGCTGTTGCTGGTGCTCGACGCCGATACCTGGACCGCCAGCTGTACCTTTGGCTACCTCCGGAACACTCCACTCCAGCACTCCCAGAACGAGCACCCCCAGAGCGAGAACCCTCTCCAGCACCGGTGCCACCCAAGCCCGCCGGGACAAGCCACGACAGGAACCCCAGGACTAGCACCCTCCTCAACGCCAGCACCCCTAGAGTCCGCGGACGGGCGCTGCTGCTGCGGCTGCGGCGATAGCAGCGACTTCGGCGGCTGCTGCGACGGCAGAGGAGGACACACCGGAGGAGAGGCATGCGGCGAGAACTGCACCGCAAGGCCACCAGAGTCAGCCGACTCCTCGACCAGGACAACCGACGGGAGGGGAGTGACGTGAGACATACCAGACGGAGCAGGACGGGGAGGGAGGGGAGCAGGGGCTACCAGGGGAGTGGGTACCAGAAACAGGGGAAGGGAAACTGGGAGACCTCGGTGGGGAAAGCGGTGATAAAAGGAGACAGGCTCGTCGAAAGTGACATCGCAAGAGTGCAAGAAGACGGCGGGTGGTAAAAGTGCCAGTCAGACGAGTCAAGGGGGAAACAGGGGACAGTGCGGGTAGTGAGCTTGTCCGTGCCCGAGGCATGAACGTGAGCAAGGCAGCCCCAGACGTGGAACGCGGACGCGCCACAAGGGAACCCGGTCCAAAGAAGGGTCGTCGAAACCTGCGGCCTTTGGGAGTGCGGCCATTGGTTGAGCTGGTGAGCGGCGTTCGTGACCATCAGCGGTTCTGTACTCAGCTTGGTGTAGTCTCAGTAGCAGCTACTCTCCTTGTATCCTGATCTATATTATACCGGCGTGTACTTCTTGTTTTATACCTGCTTGTCTTGCTACACTAACTGACTTCCCTTGTGGCCTTTTGTCTCAGTGGTCGGACTAGTAGTGCTGCCCTGAGTTGTCTTGTTACCTTCATCAGAGGCGAGACTATTCGTGCTTCCCTGGTTTGTTAAACGCTGCCCCTATCAAGTGACACACTGTGGTTGCCCTTGAGATCCTTGGGGAAGGGTTACAGGTGCAGAGCCTGGTGCACTTACCCGCTACTTAATAAGCCCTTTTAACTCAGTGGGTAGCGACTGAGCTCTGACAGCCTCTACCTAGGCTAGGGGGTGTGAAAACAAACATATATATGTATATATATGTTTGAATATATATTGTTATCTCTAATTAGGTTAGTTATGTTTGCGCAGCCTAGCTAAGTCAACTTATTAGGGAGAATAACACTTACCGTATGTACATAGTGTAAATATGCCTCATATAATGTATAACAAATGCACATGGGTCTTTTTTTTTCCACCCTCCAATGATCACCCTAGATTTTTTTCCTGCATTTTCCTAGGGTCCTAGGGAATTTTCTTTTGTCCGGGAGAATACGGTACCGTATGAACCACATCAACAGAAAATCCCTAGTGTTGGAAATACCTCAAAGACTTAAGCGTTTCTGAAGTGTAACACTACACTCGAAGGAAATGTTGTATCGAGTACGCGAGTCAACGAAGGTTACACGAGGAGGTTGGACGAAAGAACGCGAAAGGACGAAGGGACTCGAAGGATCGCAAGCGGAGGTTGCGACTGACCGTTACGACTGCAAAGGTGGTAACCGAACCATCGATCGAATCGCTGTGCGACTCGAGAACCGTTTTTTCAACTGTATTCTGCAACTGCTCTAGTTTTCTATCTTCTATATATTGCTGTATGCTTGTTTCTTTTAATCAATCACTTGCTCTCACATACTAGTGCAAGGGTTCAACTACTCAACACTTCCGCTGCACTACTCAAGCATCTTGTACAAGTGGGACTTAATCTCTGAAAGATCCTAAGGGCTTTTCTTAGCCCAACATGGTATGAGAGCTGGTCAGAGACCAAACTCCCAGCAACAACACTCTATCTACAGTCAAGCACATCAAGAGATTCATCGATTACAAGTCATGGACAACAAGGGCAAGAAGTCCTCTACGGGCTCACCCAGCGCCCAAGACACTCAACCCGGCAACTCTGGACTACACACTTCAGGATTACATACTGAGACCGGCGCTGCTCAAGAAACAACACGAAGGGTACCAGAAATGGTGTCCCCTTCACCTTCTTCAAGCGTGGACCCAAACCTCATGGAAAGGTTCTTCAGCTTCATGTCGCACTTTGACCAGCAGCAGCAGACAAGGACACCTGCGCATTCAACACAGAGCAACGGGGGAAACATGGGATTAGCACCAATGAGCCTCCACAACTCATCATTCGGGCGGCACAATCAGGCGCCTACCTTAACGCCTTATCACTCTTCACCGGGGACGTTTGAGTTCATGCCGCCCCGTCCTCAACCGAGAGCAGCTGCATCACAACAGACACCAAACGAGATATTAAGTATCCAGGCGCAGTTTTCACATGTGATTAAACCGCAGACATCTTCACCGTTCAACGGGCACGACTTCTTTACCTGGAGTTTCGAGTTCGAGCTGCTGATGGAGGCCGCGCACCTCTTGGGATACTTCAACCTATCCCTGCCATTTCCAAGCAATGGCACTGCAAAGGAGCAGGAAATCTTCACTTATTAGTCGCTGCTGGCGTACACAGTTCTCCTGCGAAACCTGTCACCACAAGAGCAACAGATCATCAGAATGTATCGGAGCTACGGAAACTCCGCAGAGCTCGCTTGGCATCATCTGAAGTGCCTCTATCAGGCAAACGACAATGTGACACAAAGCAGACTCATGCAACAGCTGACAACAATACAAATGATGACCGGGAAAAAGGCGATGCAGTATATGAGTCGCTGCCAAACAATCCGCGACCGTCTGCTTCGATGCGGAGGTACAATCACTGAAGAAAGCTTCGTAACACTTGTCCTCACCGGGCTCGGGCCAGAATGGAGAACCACCTGCTCGCTTCTTCGCGCCCATGGACGAATTTTCGAGATGCACCTTTGCGCCGAGCTTCATGCTGAACAACAGGAGATGGACCTGTTTGAAGAAAGACAACCACGGATTAAGCAGCAGCCATTAGTCTTCTACACCCAAAGAAGAAAGGACAACAAGTACAACCGACGCGATAAGCAGCATCGATATGACACCAGAGGTCTCACCGTCGTGCCGCCGTTCTGCCACAATTGTCAGACATTGGGACATTCCAAGGTTAACTGCACGCGCCCTCGAGTTTATCGTCCAGCAGATCCGCAAGTCGCCTCCACTCAAGAGAATCCGCCAAGCCGCTCCTCTACACCTGAACGAGACACACCAAACATCATCAACTGCATGGTACGGATCGACAGCTGCAGACCCGAGTCACCACCCACTTATGCTCCAGACAAAGAACTGCCGCTGCCACACTCACAAGGTCTTCAAGTCAACCCCACGTATGCTGCAGTTGCCAACGCTGAACCCACTGGGCGAAACACTTGGTTCTTGGACAGTTGCTGCGGCCAACACATGTGTTCTTCCGGGCTTTTCGTGCAACGGGAGCGATGCCTCAACCGCGATGTCATCATCACCGTCGCCAACAACGAGAACCTGAAAACAAATAGGCAAGGAGTGGTTCAACTTCAGTCAATGGAGACAAACGTCATACTACAACTCAACAAGGTTCTCATCGTCGACAACTTGGGATACAATCTACCAAGTGTCAGCCAGTTAATGGCGAAGGGAATTCACCTGGAATGCGACTCGGACGCCAACGAGTTTTGACTTTACCATGGGAAAGGCGGCCTCTTCATCGGTCGCGCTCTCCTGAAGTCGGGCGTCTTCGTGTTGGACTTCGTCCCTGACCGTGGAACTGCCGACAGCGACAGCATCGTGTCATTCGCCGCCTGGACGCATCCGCCAGATCTTGACCCCGATTTTACTCCAGACGGATTCTGGTACTCCAACACCATCCCTGCAGCAGAAAGAACACGAGCACTAGCAGTCATCCGACAAGAACTACAAGTACCAACAAGCGTCACTCACCCGACATCACATGCAGTAGCAGTGGCAGGACCTAGCCGTGTGCCATCACCAGCAATCCGAGGACCGCCATCCGAAGTGGATCAACTCATGCCCATCACCCGAGGAGCCTGCCGCAGTCCAGCCACGGTCGTCGCGTTCTTCTCCAACACCGACATGTACCAGCGCTCACCCGGCCATCGCGCTCCCGACGACACCTGGCATCAACGCCTCGGACATCTTCAAACAGCACAGTACTACAAACCATACAAGTCGGAGTATTAGAAAAGGACGCTCTTCTCACAACGAGCGGTTAGGAGCATCGACGACCCCGCGCACGATGCTTCACGTGTCCCGAAGCCGATCTTCCCCACCAACCTTTTCCGTCGCACCATAATCCAAGCGCACCTGCATACGCACCGATGGAAAAAGTCTACAGCGACATCTTAAACATGCCTCGAGACGACAGTGAACCAGAGTACAACTATGTCATCACATTCACCGACACAGCAACACGATACGTTTGGCACTACAACCTCAAGACACGAGATCAAGCGTTCGAAGCCTTCACAACGTGGCTCCCCATCACTGAACGAGAATCAGGCTCGCAACTCAAGAGCTTCCAGTCAGACGGAGCACTGGAGTACCAGTCACAACGATTCAGGAACTACTTGGCGGAAAGAGGCATCAGACCCCTGGTGTCCCTGCCCTACGCTCACCAGCAACAGGGGTCGCAGAGAGGATGAACCGAACCTTGCAGACGATGATGTGGAAGCTGCTCCTGGGGATGAGACTGCCCAGCACGCTTTGGCCTGACGCGATGACGCATGCAGTCCACCTGCACAAATTGCTGTCCTCGTCATCACTTCCCAACAACGCATCACCGCACCTACTGTGGACAGGAAAACAGGGCAGCACAAAATTACTTCGAGTCTTCGGCTGCATGGTACAGTACAGACCCCACACAGCCCGAGCAGGTCGATTCTCTCAATGAGCACGGTGGGGACTACACCTCGGCATCGCAAAACATTTCCCAGCCTGGAAGCTTCTCGACATTCAGGACAAAACCACCGTGGCCTCACGTGATGTGATATTCTACGAGCGACTCACACTGCAGCATTACCTGGACAACATCACCAACAAAGACGACCCCACCGACAGCTTCGAGGGCCATCGGTTCTTTGCCGACCATGCTGCCGAAGCTGTCGCAGTAGACGAAAACGTACCTGGAGCCTCGGAAGCTGCCGGACCACTCCCTTACTGCTCCGTGTCCGTTCCACTCGACGACGACAATCCTCTCGAAAGGAACAACCTCGACACCTATTACCACTTCGCTGACCACGGTTACGCTACACCTCAACTGGTAGACACAAATGCCTCTGAACGCATCGGACCAAGTTTCTAACTTGATCCCGAGGATGGTGACAAAGCAGCTTATCCCACGAATGACAATTCCCCTCGACACACATCCACGGGCCTGCAGATACTTGGACTATGGGTCGCCGTCCAGAGCCCTCCGCCGCCGTCACCGCGTGAGCCAACGACTCTGTCGCAGGCTCTGGGGGGGGAACACAAGGCAAAATGGAAGGAAGCAATGAAAAAGGAATTGAAGGCCCTGCAAGACCGAAATACGTGGAAGCTGGCACCTGCAACAAAAACCAACGGGAAGAATGTGCTCTCGGGAAAATGGGTGTACCGCATCAAGACTAATGTGGATGGCTCCATCGACCGCTTCAAGGCTCGCTGGGTCGTACAAGGCTCCGACCAGCGATACGGAACCGACTGCACGGAGACTTTCATCCCAGTCTCACGACATACCTCCCTGCGCATTCTGCTCGCCGTCGCGGCCACGAAAAGACTACCACTGCGCCAGATCGATGTCGCCAACGCCTTTCTGTACGCACTTGTGGACGCCGAAATCTTCGTCGAGCAACCCCACGGATTCATCGACGATCCCACAAAAGTGTGCCATCTGGCAAAATCCCTTTACGGAATTAAACAAGCCCCGCGGCTCTGGCAGCAGCACCTTCACGACCGCCTCGTCAGGATCGGTTTTCTGCAGCTGCCGCACGATCAAGGCATGTACCGACTACAAAGGGGGGGGGGGGGACTTCGTCCTACTCATCGTCTACGTCGATGACCTACTCTATGTCGGCTCCACTATCGACGTCGCCAACTGGTTCGAAGGGGAGCTGAGGAGTGACTTAACACTCACGGTGTCAGACACCGTGAGCCAGTACCTAGGTCTAAACATCGTCGAAGACAACTCGGCGCTCTACTTACACGCCGGAAAATACGCAGGCGTTGTCGCGAAGAAATTCGGTCTTACGCCAGTCGCAGTCGCGACTCCCTATCGCTATGGGAACAACAGCGGAAACTCCGCAAAGCTCCCCGCGAGCAAATCCAGGAGTATCAACAAAAGCTCGGCTGTCTACTATTCGCAGCAGTAACCTGCCGACCGGATCTGTCCTACAGCGCGAGCCAACTGGCGACACACCTGAAGCAGCCGGAGCAAGAGGATCTCGAGGAACTAAATCGGGCACTGCTCTACTTCGTCTCTACGCCGCTACCGGACTTACCTATAGCAAAGTAACGCCATCATCCGTATAGCTACTCGACTATGTCGACGCCGACCACGCGGGAGACAGAGAGAATCGTCGCTCCAGAAAGGGCTACGTTTACCGACTAAAACCTATCGGGACTATTTCCTGGCAATCGAGCAAGCAGGAACTAATAGCGCTATCCTCGGCTGAAGTGGAATACATCGCTCTCTGCTCTGCGACCAAAGAGGGACTTTACCTACAGGAGCTGCTCGAGGAAGCAAAAATTACGACCATGCCCGCCTTCTCGTTACTCTGCGACAACCAATCTGCGATCAAAATTGCGAACAAAAATGGGTTCGCCAATCGAACCAAGCACATCGCCCTACGGTATTTCTTCGTCAAGGATGAAATCGCGAAGGGGAGACTTCAACTCAGTTACTGCCCCATGACAGATTTGGCTGCAGATTACCCGACGAAGAAACTGGCGAAGGCAAAGTTCGATTACTGCATGTTGCTGACCGGGCAGAGAAACGTCATCGAACCTGAACACGTAAGCACTCCAGAAACGAAGGGGAGTGTTGGAAATACCTCGAAGACTTGAGCGTTTCTGAAGTGTAACACTACACTCGAAGGAAATGTTGTATCTGTAATAATTTGACAGGTGGTGTGCAAGAGACTAAGTATGAAATTTGCAACCACAAGTATTTAACCAAGGATCTTTGCTGGAATGGTAGACTAGTAAGATAGCGGAAGTCTTATAGGAGTGAACCTGAGCACATGAACTTGTGGGTAGTCGAAGGTTGAATAACCTGAGCACATAATTATGTGGAAAGTCAAGGTTAATAATAGAAAGGCATTACAAGGATTTTATAGCTCTAGGAAAAGTACCTGTTCGGCTAGTTGCGCGCTATGTGACCTATTCGTCATACTATAGGGTCGCGACTGTTCGCGTGATTGAAGCGGCTCGTTACGCCTATTCGTGTAACTGAAGCGGTTTGCTGATGTCATCCCCGAGACCCGCGATGTTTTGCTGACATCAACACTCGGGCATGGTTACTTACTGAGAAACGCGATACTGCGCGCTTCACCAAAAACAGAACTTACAGGAATGCAAAACTTCAATTATCACAACACTCCCCTTCATTCCTGGAAGGTCGATGTAGTCACGTCGTGGTTGGATTCCGGCGAATGAAATCTGCAATTTGGAATCTTGTGACGTGTAAACTTCATGTGCTGTAAGTAGTCGACGGTCATTCTATTGGTCAAATGGTAGACCAATCGCTTTCTTCTCTTAGTGATGACGAATTTTGGCTTTGACGAAGTGCGCGTAGATCCTCCTTTCCCCCCTCACTTCGGCAGAGAAAAAATGAGTCGAGTTGAAAGTGGTTGGGGTTGCGCCAATGAACGTGGCAAGGCTGAAGGGGACGAACACAAAACCACGAGAGTGTTGCACATGGTGGAGAGGAGGCTCGGCATCATCCGGAGGCTTGACAGACCATGAAGTGATGGGCAGATCTGATGGTGCAGCTTTGGGCAGTGAAATATGTTGAGTCAGCAGTGCACGCAGCTGCTCACGTAGATCGTGTAGGATACTGTTCAACCTTTCTGCTTCGTTGCATCGTTGAACGCGATGACGAGGGGTGTGGTGGCAGTTGATGCTCAGGCCTTGCTCGTAGTCGTTGGAACTCGAAGTGTGGTGATCAGCTGCTCTGGAGTATAGGAAAGGTTGCAGCGTGGTATTGAGCTCGCTTGCTGCTATAGTCAGCCACGCAAGAATTAAGATGGTAAAATATGAAGGGAGTAAAAACCTTGAGAGTGAGTAACCTTTTTCTGAGAGACTGGTAGTTGAAGAAGTGTCTGAAGGCTTGTCGAGAGTAGTTGTCGCGTCGAAGAAATTTTCAGGAGCGAGTTGCAGAATTTCCTCGTGTTCTTGACTAATATTTTCCTTGATATTAGCGGCAGGTGTGTCGACAAGGATGTTGGTGGTGCTGCTACTCTGATTTTCTTCTTCGATGCTGCTGAAGACCATTAGTGGAGTGGTTACCAAAGCTATTGCTGCGATGATGGATGGAGCTTGAAGAGGAGCGGCATCTTCAGACGGTTTTGCTGCCTTGAAGCGTAAAACGAATACGCCATTTTTTGTTGCTGCTCTTCCGATGTACGTGTTGTCCACATCATGTATTAACTCATGCTCTTGTGTCGTGCAGTTTCCGACCGTGCGGAATTTATTCTTCAAGAGTTGAAGAGTTGACATTAAATTGAAGCCACGATTGTCGACGAGTAAAACATTGGTAAGGCGTAAGGAATTTCCCGTATCGATTGATGTCAAAAGGAGACTGCCGAGATTTTCTGCTGCAATTGTTTGACCGTTGGCGAGTGTGATTGGGCAGGGTTGAAGAAGTCGACGACGGTTGTAGATGAAAGGATTTGTTGAAGAGACCATGTGATGGCCACAACAACTATCCAAGTACCAAGTATCGGAATCTGAACTGCAGTTAACGATGTGAGTGGATGAAGTAGGTAAACGAAAATTTGAGGTTACCGTATTGTTGGCAGAGTTTGAATGAGCGGCTGTCGGCTTTGTTGAGTTGCTTGGAGGAGCACCGTTGAGTGTCATTGGTGGTGTTGATATGGCAGATTTTGCTTTTGGAGGCGCATGTTGCTGAAAAGATTGCTTCGAAGGCTGACGTAGCTGCTGTGATGATTTCGACTGCTGCGGTTCTTCATGAGGTAAATACCTTTTCTTAAAGTAGCACCGGTCAGTAGAATGTCCTCCCTTGTTGCAATTGTAACAAAAGTATTGAGGACGTCGGGTTGGTGTTGAATAGAAGCTGAGTTGTATATCCCCATTTTTGTTGCGTTGTGACTGCAGGTCAAGATCTTGCTATTCTGCTTGAAGATAGGAAGAAATCTCGGCTTCAGAGATGTTTGGATTCATGCGCAGGACGGCGCGCGTCTGTCGCCATTCGGGTCCAAGGCCAGCAAGAAGGAACGTGAGATACATCTCACGAGGGAAGTATCCTCCACTTTTCTCCTGTTGATCTCGTAGTGTACAGATGCGATTGACGTAGTCCATGACATTTTTGTTTGTCATCATCTGCACATTTGTCAGCTGCGAAAGAATTTTACTCACTGTGATTGTATCTTTTGCCATGTATACCCCCTTCAGGTGGTTCCATGCAGTTTCAGTTGGCGTAAAGCTTGAATGAAAGGATCGGACGCCGAGCTGATCCTTTGGTGATAAGTTTCGAACAAGAACCGTATACGCCCCGAGAGAGGCGTGCAAGAAACTTTGTTGCTCCAGTTGGGTTCCCATAACATGATACGTGAATTCGCGGGTGAAGAACGGCCAAAGCCCAGCGGACTGCGCAAGAAGCTCAAACTCGAAACTCCAGGAGTAAAAATCAACTCCGTTAAAAGGTATAGTTGTCTTGATTTGTGTGCTGTTAAGTAAATTCGGTGGTTGAAAAATAATGCCCTGTTGTTGAGGTTGTTGCTGTTGCTGCTGTTGTTGTTGATGTTGTTGCTGCTGTTGCTGTTGCTGAGATTGCTGTGGTTGTTGATGATGTTGTTGTTGTTGCTGTTGGTGAGCAGGGGAACGCCCGAAGATGTAAAAGGGATGCTGCTACTGCTGTGACTGCGACTGTTGTGCAAAAGGTGAGAAAGCAAACGAACCAGTACTCAGAGCTGTAGCTCCACGCATATAACTCGAGCCGTCAAGGCTGATTCCACTGAATGCCAATGATATTGACCGCGTTGAAAACGGTGGTTGCGCTGTTGCTTGTTGCTGTACTTATGACTGTTGTTGAACTGATGCTTGTTGTTGTGCTGTTGTCTGTGTTTGTTGGTGTTGTGTTGCAGGGGCAGTTGATGACATCCCTGGAGTATTGGCAGAAGACGGATTCTGCTGCTACTGCTGCATACCAATATGCGCATAAGCCGGTGGAAATGGTCCAGAGGCTGAGAGACCAGTGGCGGTCGTGGAGACATGTACTCCAGTAGTTACGGAAGTTGATCCGGCAGACGGTGCTGGTGATGAACCAGTCATTGTTGACAGTAGTCTTAATTCCAGATAGCTCTCATACCATGTAATAATTTGACAGGTGGTGTGCAGGAGACTAAGTATAGAATCTGCAACCACAAGTATTTAACCAAGGATCTTTACTGGAATGGTAGACTAGTAAGACAGCGGAAATCTTATAGGAGTGAACCTGAGCACATGAACTTGTGGGTAGTCGAAGGTTGAATGACCTGAGTGTCAAACATGTGTATTTGTTATGTTTGTATAGACTGTATAGGGTCACCTCTTAGAAGGTACAACACTTAGGTATATCTATGTGTTCTCTCACTCTACCTATCATTCACTTCTCTAATTCTGATATGGTATCAGACGTAGGTTAGGATACCCCCCCCCCCACCTACCGCTTCCGCTCGCCCCCTAGCTCGGCCCGCCGTGCCTCCCTCCTAGCCCCGTCGTGCCCCTAGCCCCGTCGCGACCCCCCTAGCCCCGTCGCGCCCTTCCTGGGCCCCGTAGCGCCCCTCCTAGGCCCCGTAGCGCCCCTCCTGGGCCCCGTCGCGCCCCTCCTGGGCCCCGTAGCGCCCCTCCTGGGCCCCGTCGCGCCCCTCCTAGGCCCCGTCGCGCCCCTCCTGGGCCCCGTAGCGCCCCTCCTCGGCCCCATCGCGCCCCTCCTAGGCCCCGTAGCGCCCCTCCTGGGCCTCGCCGCGCCCCTCCTGGGCTCCGTAGCGCCCCTCCTGGGCCTCGTCGCGCCCCTCCTGGGCTCCGTAGCGCCCCTCCTGGGCCCCGTCGCGCCCCTCCTGGGCCCCGTAGCGCCCCTCCTGGGCCCCGTAGCGCCCCTCCTGGGCCGCTCCTAGGCCCAGTAGTGCCGCTCCTGGGCCCTGTACCGCCCTGCCTGGGCCCCGTAACGCCCCTCCTGGGCCCCGTAGCGCCCCTCCTGGGCCGCGTCGAGCCCCCCCTCCTGGGCCCCGTCACGCCTTCCGGCCCCGTCGCACCCGCCCGGCCCCGTCGCACCAGCCCGGCCCCGTCGCGCATGCCCGGCCCCGTCGCACCCGCCCGGCCCCGTCGCCCCCTGCCCCGCCCCGTCGCACCCGTCCGGCCCCGTCGCGCCCGCCCAGCCCCGGTGCGCCCCTCCTTGGCCCCGTCGTGCCCCTCCTGGGCCACCGTCCCGCTCGCCCGGCCCCGTCGCACCGGCCCGGCCCCCGTCGCACCGCCCGGCCCCGTCGCACCAGCCCGGCCCCGACGCACCAGCCCGGCCCCGACGCACCCGCCCGGCCCCGTCGCACCAGCCCGGCCCCGTCGCGCCCGCCCGGCCCCGTCGCACCCGCCTGGCCACGTTGCACCGGCCCGGCCCCTGCGCTCGTCCCTGCCCCGGCCCCGGTCCTCCTCACTGGTACGGTTCTCCCTCCCCCGCCCTGCACTGCCCTGCACCGTACTGCCCCGCACTGCACCGCCCCGCACCACACTGTACTGCCTGGCACCGCACTGCACCGCACTGTACCGCACTGCACCGCATTGCACCGTACTGCACCGCACTGTACCGCACTGCACCGCACTCCACCTTGCTGCACTGCCCTGCATCGCACTGCACTGTTCCTGATGGCGGCGGAGCTTCGCTTCGACGCTGAAGGCCAGCCTCTGGAGTTCGAGGCGTGGCTTGCCGACCTCCGCCGCCAACTCACTGGCCAACGGCAGGATGGTGAACCGCTTTCCGCACACCTTGACGGTACACTCCCCTGCCCAGACCCCCCTGCTATTTTGCCCGCTGACTCCAACCCCACTGAGCGCGAGTCTACTGCTGCCACTGCCCGTGCGCGCTCTGTCTGGCTTTCTCGCGATGCTGTCGCCCAGCTTGCCATTAGCAACGCCCTTCCCCCGTCCGAGCGCCCTCGCTTTAGATCCCTCACCACTGCTCAGGCATACTTAGATGCTGTCATCCAGCGCTATTCCACCCCTCCGGCTGCCTCGGTGGGTCGCCTGATCCTCCCGATGCTCTTTCCTGACCTTGCATCCTTCCCTACTGTCTCTGACCTCGCTGCCCACCTGCGCTCGATAGATGAGACCTGGCGCGCTGCCTGCACTGACGCACAGCTTAGAGCCCACCAGCCGCCCATTACCTCTACCCTCTACCTGCTTGCCACCCGCCTCCCTGACCGCCTTGCTGTCGCCCGCGACCGCTTCCTTAGCATTCACCCCGCAGACCTCACCCTCACTGACTTTGTAGACACCCTGACTGTGATAGAGACCCGTCACCGCTCCATCGCCCAGGCGAGCGGTGTCGTGCCGGTCCCTATCTTTCAGGGTTGTGCCCCCGCTCAGTGTACCTTCTCCGACGGCTCTGCCGCAGTGGCTGAGACTGCTGCTTCAGCGCAGTTTCGTTCGGAGAAGGGCCGCCGCCCCAAGGTTGGGCGTGGCGGAGGCGGAGGCGGGGGTGCGGGAGGGGGTAGTGGTGGGGTCGGGTCGTCTGGTGCTGGAGCGGACGAGGGGACCCTGCCCAGTCCAGCTGAGCCGCCGCCCCTGCAGTTGCAGCAGCCGCAGCAGCCGCCGCAGTCGCAGCCTTCGCAGCAGCCGCAGCAGCCGTCGCAGACGCGGCAGACGAGTGTCCTCCCGCCCGGGTGGCCCGGCGCCGGCGGTGGTCGGGCGCGTGGTGGTGTGCCGAGTGGTGGCTCTGGCGGCGGGCGTTGTCAGTACCAGATCCAGACCGGTCCTCGCCGCGGCTTCGTTTGCGGTAAGATCGGTCACTCCACTCCCCGCTGTTTTTGTCGCCTGGACGACCTCTTTTGTCAGCGCTTCGGCCCGTCGCCAGACCTCCCGGACTGGCTCAGTTTGCTTAGTCGTAAGATTCAGATTTTTGATATGGACATGGATGCCATTGTTTCTGCTCTGCATGTGATGTATGCTGATGACTCTAGTGTGCTTCCAGCTTATTACTCACTGTTGCCTAGTGTAGGTGTGCCTAGCGTAGTCTCCCCTGCTGCGTCAGGCGTAGGATCTCTTGCTTTGTGTAGTCTTGGTGCTTCCGCCGTCGTTCCTTCGTCCGACGCCTCTGCTTCGCTTTCCTTCACCTTGGACTCTGGCGCTTCTCGGTGTTTCTTCCGCGACTCCACCACTCTGACGCCGCTTCCTGTTCCTGCTGCCGTTTCTCTTGCTGACCCCTCCGGCGGTCCGGTAGTCGCCCGCAGTTCCACCACCCTTCCCTGTCCGGCGGTTCCTTCGGGCACTCTCACAGGTCTGCATATCCCCTCGTTCTCCAGGAACCTAGTTGGTGTCGGCTGCCTCCTGGACCTTGGCGTCACCACTACGTTCCCTGGTCACGAGCGGTATGCTGTCTGTACCGAGGCCGCCACTGGTGCCCCCCTCTCCACGTTCCCCCGGGACCCGGTGTCCGGCCTGTTCACTCTGGACACCGTGACCCCCCCGGCTGGAGCGCTCACCCAGGTTGCTGCCGCCTGCTCCTGTCGGTCCCTCACTCACCCGACTCTCCTTTGGCACCACCGCCTAGGTCACCCAGCGCTCCCGCGTCTGCGTCACATGTCCCAGCACGGTCTTGTCCTTGGTCTCCCAGGTTCTCTCCCCGCGTTTCCCTCCTCCCCAGCCCCACCTTGCACGCCTTGTGTCGAGGGTCGGCTTCGCCGTGCCCCTCACTCCTCCTCGTTTCCCCCTACCGCCGCGCCGCTGCAGACCCTGCACCTGGACGTCTGGGGCCCCGCCCCTGTCACTGGGCCGCGTCGAGAGCGCTACTTCCTTGTGCTTGTCGACGACTTCACCCGTTACACCACAGTCTTTCCCCTGAAGCGCAAGGCCGACGTGCCTGGCGCTCTCATCCCCTGGCTTGTCTCTGCGCGTGTCCACCGCGGTCTCCCTGTCTTGCGTCTTCACTCAGACCGTGGTGGCGAGTTTGCCTCAGGTGTCCTTGGTCGCTTTTGTCGTGCGGAGGGCATCACCCAGACGTTCACCCTACCGGACTCCCCACAGCAGAATGGGGTCGCTGAGCGACGCATCGGTTTGGTCATGGAGGTAGCTCGCACCTCCATGATCCATGCCGGTGCACCCCATTTTTTGTGGCCGTTCGCTGTGCGCTACGCTTCTCACCAGCTTAACTTGTGGCCGCACCCTCAACAGCCGCAGGTTTCGCTGACCCGTCTTTGGACTGGGTCTCCTGGTGACGCGTCTGCGTTCCACGTCTAGGGCTGCCTTGCTCACGTTCGTGCCTCCGGCACGGACAAGCTCACTGCCCGCACCCTTCCCTGCGTCTTCCTCGGCTTTCCCCTTGACGCGTCCGACTGGCACTTTTACCACCCGCTGTCTCACCGCTTCTTTCACTCCCGTGACGTCACCTTTGTCGAGTCCGTCTCCTACTACCGTCGCTTCCCCACCGTGGTCCCCCGGTTACCCCCCCCTGTTCCTGGTCACTCCTTCCCCCGTAGTCCCTGCCCCTCCTCCTCCTCCTCCCCATCCCGCCCCCTCTGGTGTGTCCCACGTCACCCCCTTCCGTCGGTGGTCCCGGTTGAGGAGTCTTCTGACTTTGGTGGCCCTGCTGCGCAGTCCTCGCCGGCCGCCCCTCCCCCGGCGTCCCCTCCCCAGTCCCCTCCTCCACCGCCGCCGCCGCCGGCGCCGGCGCCGCCGCCGCCGCCGGCCGTCGCAGCACCCGTTCGCTGACTCTGGGGGTGCTCGTCCCGGTCGCCCTGGGGGTGGTCCTTCTGGGGGTGCTGGTGTGGAGTGTGCCGGAGGTAGCTGAGGAGCAGCTTGCGGTTCAGGTGTCGCCATTGTGCCGCCGCAACCGCAGTCCCCGCCGGTGTCAGCCCTTCGCCTGCTCGGCCTTCCGTCCCCCGACCCTGCGTCTGTTCCTCCCCGACCGTCTCCTCCTCTTCCTGTCTACGGCCCTGTTTTCCCTCCGCCGGACTCGTCCCCGGCCCGTCTCCCCCCTCGTTCCCCTCCTGTGTCCCCTCCCCTGTCTCCTGACCCGACTCCTCCGTCGCACGTCTGGTCTCACCGTTCCTCCCGTGCTCGTCATGCCTCGCCTGTCTTGCGCTCCCACCCTATGTTGCTTCGTTCCCACGCGTCTCGTCCTCCCCTTCTCCCGTCGCCTCCTCCGTCCTCCCTTGTTGTTGCACCCCCCCGTTGTCTGACTACCTTCGTGCCGCTCGTCCTCTTGTTCCTCGGGTCCTTGCCTCTCTCGTTACCGACCCGTCTGTTCCGGTCTCGTGCCTTGACGCTCTTGTCGCTGCTGTCGCTGACTTCGCCTCTACCCGCCGCCTTGACTACGCCACAGCTCTGGTCTCTGACCCTGCCTGTCCTCCGTATGTCGGGGGTGCTCCTGCCCTTGGCAGTGACGTCCTGGAGGACCGCCAGTTCGAGCTTGCTTTCCTGTCCGTGGCTGCTCCCCATCTCTGTTCCATGCTGCTAGTCCCTGAGGGTGACCCAGACGCTTTCGACATCCCGACCCCTCGCACTTACGCTGAGGCGACCTCGGGACCTTGGGCTTCCCAGTGGATAGCTGCCATGGAGCAGGAGATGGCATCTTGGAGATCCACCGGCACCTTTGTCGACGCAGTTCCCCCGCCTGGGGTGAATGTAGTCGATGGCCGCTAGCTCTTCAAGGTGAAGCGCCTCCTGGAGAGCCGCCTGTGTTCAAGGCGCGTTACGTGGCTAGAGGCTTCAGTCAGTGCGAGGGGTGGACTTCTTCCAGACCTTCGCTCCGACCCTGAAGACGACTACTCTTCGGGTTCTGTTACACCTAGCTGCTCAGCGTGACTACGAGCTGCACTCCCTCGACTTCTCCACTGCCTTCCTTCAGGGCAGCCTACACGAGCAGGTCTACTTGCGTCGCCCTCAGGGCTTTACTGGCACCTTCCCTCCTGGGACCCAGTGGCTCCTGCGTGCCCCATCTACGGCCTGCGCCAGGCTCCCCGTGAGTGGCACGACACTCTCCGTGCTACGCTTGCTGACCTGCAGTTCTTTCCGTCTTCCGCAGACCCTTCACTCTTCGTTCGTGCTTGCCAGACTCCGTTCTACATCCTTGTTTACGTCGACGACCTGGTCTTTGCCACAGCAGACAGGGACGCACTGGCATCCGTGAAGGCAGAGCTGCTGAAGAGACACACGTGCACTGACCTTGGAGAACTACGCCGCTACCTTGGCTTGCAGATCTCCAGGGACAGAGCATCGCGCACCATCACCCCAGTCACACTTGGTGCGCCAGGTCCTTCAGAGGTTCAGCCTTCAGTTCTCCTCTGCACAGCCCACCCCTCTGCCTGTAGACCACAGACTCTCCGCTCCAGTGTCTAAGGAGTTGGTAGAGCCCAGCCGCCCCTACGCAGAGCTGGTGGGTTGCCTCATGTACCTGATGACTTGCACTCGCCCAGATCTCGCATACCCTCTCAGCATCCTGGCTCGCTTTGTGGCCACAGCAGACACCGACCGCAGCACTAGTCTGCCGCTAAGAGGGTTCTGCTTATCTTGCTAGTACATCAGGCATGGGGTTAGTGCTAGGAGGACGCAGGCCAGTGGTCCTTACTGGACACACAGACGCTTCGTGGCAGACGACGCTGAGACACTCAGGTCTACCCAGGGCTACTGCTTCAGCCTTGGCTCCGGTGCCGTCTCGTGGAGAGCTACCCGCTCCTCGTCTGTTGCCCAGTCCAGCTGTGAGGCTGAGATCTACGCTGGTGCCATGGCGGCACAGGAGCTCCGCTGGCTGACCTTCTTGCTCACTGACTTAGGTGAGCGGCCTAGCTCTGCCCCGGTCCTGTTCGCTGACAACATGGCCATGATCCTCCTGTGCCAGGAGCCTCGACTCGAGGGCAGAGCGAAGCACATTCAGCTGCGGTACTTCCTCCTGCGTGAGCTACAGTAGCGGCGTCAGGCTCGCGTAGTACACTTGGCCTCAGGTGCCAACACGGCTGATATCTTTACGAAGGCGCTTGCGCCTAAAGATCATCAGCGGCACTGTGTACAGCTTGGTCTAGTTCCTGTAGCCTCTCACTTGCTAGGACCTTGACTTTGTACTGTCCTTTATATGTATACTCAGACTGGACTTGTGTCCTCTCCCAGTGGCTGGACTAGTAGTGCCGCCCTGCTCTTGTTCTGCCTTGTCTGTACTCCTTCTGACTGGTCTCTCAGACCCTTGTCTCAGAGGTTGGACTAGTAGTGCCGCCCTGAGCTGCTTGTTTAGGACATTCCCCTATGCAGTCTAGGGGGTGTGTCAAACATGTGTATTTGTTATGTTTGTATAGACTGTATAGGGTCACCTCTTAGAGGGTACAACACTTAGGTATATCTATGTGTACTCTCACTCTACCTATCATTCACTTCTCTAATTCTAATACTAAGCACATAATTCTGTGGAAAGTCAAGGTTAATAATAGAAAGGCATTACAAGGATTTTATAGCTCTAGCAAAAGTACCTGTTCGGCTAGTTGCGCGCTATGTGACCTATTCGTCATACTATAGGGTCGCGAGCGACTGTTCGCGTGATTGAAGCGGCTCGTTACGCCTATTCGCGTAACTGAAGCGGTTTGCTGATGTCATCCCCGAGACCCGCGATGTTTTGCTGACATCAACACTCGGGCATGGTTACTTACTGAGAAACGCGATACTGCGCGCTACACCAAAAACAGAACTTGCAGGAATGCAAAACTTCAATTATCACAACATTATCGAGTACGCGAGTCAACGGAGGTTACACGAGGAGGTTGGACGAAAGAACGCGAAAGGACGAAGGGACTCGAAGGATCGCAAACGGAGGTTGCGACTGACCGTTACGACTGCTAAGGTGGTAACCGAACCATCAATCGAGTCGCTGTGCGACTCGATAACCGTTTTTTCAACTGTATTCTACAACTGCTCTATTTTTCTATCTTCTATATATTGCTGTATGCTTGTTTTCTTTTAATCAATCACTTGCTCTCACATACTAGTGCAAGGGTTCCACTACTCAACACTTCCGCTGCACTAACTCAAGCATCTTGTACAAGTGGGACTTAGTCCTCTGAAAGATCTTAAGGGCTTTTCTCAGCCCAACACCTGGGATATATAAATACAGCGAAGGACTTTTGTCTATTCAAAGCTGTCGCACGGAGAATACTCGTACCAATCCCTGTCCCTGAGAAAACCTTCGAGGCATGCAGGCACTAAGGGCCTGGGGCCATCGCAGGTAACTCTGAAATGCCGGAGCGACGTGAAGATGAAAGGAAGGTCGGGAGAGAGTGCAGGCAGCGCCAGTGCAGCAAGTCCAGGCGAGTGAGGCGGGCGAATTTTGCCAGTGAGGATGGGAGGTGGGGCAGGTCGGAGCGGCAGATCTGGAGGGTGGCGAGGAGAGGGGGGCAGGTGAGGTAGGGCTCAGAGCAGCCCTGGTGAGGTTGGAGAGGCGGAGGGTGCGCAGGGAGGAGAAGGCGGAGAGGCACGCAAGCAAGTCCCGGCAGTCAGCGTTGTCCACAACCAGCGTGGTGAGCGAGGTGAGCTGCGTCAGCCGAGGGTCACTCCCGTATCCAGACAGCCTTGCACAGGTTAAGTGCAAGAAGTGCAGGTTTGAAGAGAAACCCTTTCGTCACCCCCCATGACATGCTGCGGCTGCCTGCCAACGCCATGTGTTCTAGGGCCGGGGAAGAGAGCCATGTCCACGTAAGAAGGGGGCCCTGAGGTCACCAGCTGCAGCACCTTGAGCTTTGGAAACACCAGTGCCGTCCATCCGGAGATCTGCAGCGGAGTAGTTGCGGTAGTCGGCTCGCACGTCCAGCTGCTCCAGCGAGGGCGCCACGTTGGCAAGCAGGCGGGCCACGGGCACGGTCTCGTCGGGGCACTGCACGCGCACGCGGCGCAGACGGGGCAAGCGGGGAATGCAGGCGGAGCCAGAGATTTCCCAGAGGCAGGCGGAGTCATGGTGGTCGCAGCGGCTGCTGCAGCCAATGAAGAGCTCCTGCAGGCGAGTGAGGCGAGACAGGCCGTGGTGGAGGGAGCACGATGGGGTGGTGGAGTATTGGTCGTGGTATGATGCGTAGACGCATGGGAGGGAGAGGGAGGTAAGGTGGGTGAGGTGGCGGATGAGCGGAGGGAAGGATGTGTAGTGGGAGAGAGAGAGGGAGGTGAGGTTAGAGAGAGGTAGTTGTCCCTCATCAGTGACCCTTGAGGGACCGGCTGTGTGGTGTAACCCATCGCCTCGCTTCTCCTTTTCTTCCTCCTTGTCCTCCCCATCCCCCTCCTCATCACCGTCACCCCCACCGACTTCATCCTCCTCCCCCACACTTCTGTCTTCCTCTGCCTCTACCTCCCCTTCCTCCTCCTCCTGCTCCTCCTCCAGCCCCGGGATCCACAGGTTGGTTTCCAGGCGAGTGAGGGCAGTGAGGCAGGAGAAGGAATCAGGCATGGTGCCGGTGGGGAGGGAGAGGGAGAGCGAGGAGAGGGAGGGCAGTCGGAGCAGGAGGAGGGGTGAGACGCTGCTCCAACTGCTGGCGTCCATGCGGGTGCACTGGAAGCTGGAGATGTGTTGCACGTGCAGGGAGAGGGCGCGCAGCGAGCGCAGGTGGGCCAAGGGGGCAGAGTGGGCGAACTGGGGCGGCATGTGGTCTGCAGGGAGCGCAAGGGAGAGGGAAGTGAGGCGAGAGAGGAGGAGGAGGGAGGAGGGGAGGCTGGAGAGGGGGAGGGAGAGAGCAGTGAGGTGCGGGCAGTGGTGGAAGAGGTTGGCAGGGAGTTTGAGTCTGTTGGCAAGATTCTCCCCCTGTACGTGCAGCTGCTGCAGTCCCCGGCACCTCTTCACCACCGCAAACAGCCCTCTCTCCACCTCCCCGTTCGCCTCGCCCCACCATCGCCTCATCTCCCTCTCCCCTCTCCTTCCCCCAGCTTCAGCCATTCCTCCGCCCATACCCGCTCCCAGTGGTCCTATAGCCGTCCTCCAGCAGCAGGGACAGCGAGGAGAGGGCGGGCTGAGCGGCGGCAGCGGAGAGGAGAGGTCGCACGTGGGAAGGGCGGAGGGGGCGGGCAGCGGTGGAGACTAAGGGCAGGACGAGGCAGAGAGGCTGGGGTAGAGGCAATGGTCCGGGCGAGGGAGGCGGGCGAGGGGAGCGAGGCGAACCAGACGGGGAGAACCAGATGGGGGACAAGGGACGCCACCTGTGCAGCAGGTGGTGAAGCAGGTGGAGAGGGAGCAGGGGGTGATGGGAGGGGGGATGGTGAAGGGAGGGAGGAGGAGGGGAGCAGGGAGAAGGAGCTGGGTGGAGGGGGGGAGTGGATGACCCAGAAGGGGGAGTCAGCGGGGTGCCATGGGGAGGAGAAAAGGGGCGGACCGTTGGACTTGTCATCCCGTGCTCGGCCTCCTGCTGCCGCTTCTGCAGACTAGATTAAGAGAGAAGGAGGAGGAGGGGAAGGAGGAGGAGGAGGGAGGAGGGGGAGGAAGGAGGGGTTGGAGCAGGGCGAGGGGAACCCAGGACAGCAAGAGGGGGTGGAGGGCAAAGGCGAAGCAGAGGTGTGGAGGCGGCTACCAGCGGCGCCACTCGCGGCACACACCGCTCACATCGTGCCTCCTCCATAGGCCCCTGCAGCCGCTGCAGCACGGCCTGTAGCACCTCTGCTGATAACTGCGGCGGCGGCTTGCCATTGTTGGTAGTGCTGGTGCTGGAGCTGGTGTTACGCCGCTTCTGCTGCTGCATGCTGCTGCTGTCATGCCTGCCCATGCCTGCAGCTCCTGCTGCTGGGTAACCGCGCGAGTGTTTTGCGGGGGTCCTTGATTCGTGCCATGCTGCTTCGTCGTTATGGCTCTCAGATCCACCTTCTGTGCCCCTCGCACCAACTTCGCCCCTGCTCCGCCGCCTGCTGCTGCTGCTGCTGCTGCTTGTCATTCTCCTCTCCTCTTGCACCCTGAGCCGCGACTGGCAGCTCCCTCCTCCTCCTCTTCTTTCCCCACCTGACTCCACCACTCCCTCTGCTCCTCCTTCTGCGCCTTACTCAACGACGACTCCCTAAACACACTCTGAAACCGAATCCTCCTCCTCTCCTTTTGCCTCATCCAAGCACTCTTCCATCTCCTCTCTTGCTCCTCCATCCCACCCTTCCTCCTCTCTCCCTCCTCCTTCTCTTGCGCCCACCTCTTCCCTGGATGTACTCTTCAAGGCCCACAGGCACAACCACTGGGTGATTAACAGTCACGTCGAAGGAGAAGTGGGTGAGGGGGAGAAGGCGGAGAGGAAGGAGGGGAGGGCGCGGAGCGGCACACACTGGAAGAGGTCGAGGCGAGTGAGGGAGGCGAAGAGACGGAGGGAGTCGGGGAGGAGAGGAGTGGCGAGTGGCAGATTTGGAGGCATTGAGTGAGGGAGGGCAGGAGAGGGCGGAGTGGTAGTTGTGCATGGAGAGGTTGAGGATGCGGAGGGAGGAGAGGGAGGGGAAGAGGGAGAGGGCGGAGAGGAAGGCGAGGTGTGAGGGTACGACCCGACTATGAGCGCCCGCAGCTTAGGCAGCACGGGGAGGGGGGCAGGTGGGGGGAGTGGACGCGGAGGAAGGTGAGGCTGGGGAGGAGGGCGGGGAGGATGGTGGGGCTGCAGGGGGGGTGGGAAGTATCGTCGATGGCCAAGTGGGTTAGGCAGGGCAGATGGCCCATGAATGCAAGAGTATGCGCCTGCTGGGGCTGCTGCTGCTGCTGAGCCGGCTGCTCTGACCCTGCCTGCTGCTCTGACCTTGCCTGCCACGGCTTCTCACGCTGCGCAGCACAAGCTCCTCGAGCAAAGGGAAGAAGCACGCTGCTGCACCATCTGCACCACATGCGTCCTCCCCTTCACCACGTGCGCCCTGCCCCACATCCCCCTCCCAGAATGCTCCCCCATCTGCTCCCCCCGCCCCTGCACCGCCACGTGGGGCGAGCCGTGGATCTTGAGCGTCTGCAGCTGGGGGCACAGGCGCCCCCATACAGCCAATGGGATCACGCCAGCTGTTCCCGTGAGGGTCACGTGACAGAGGGAGCCGGAGAAAGGGACTGCTTCGTGGCAGAATGGAGGCTCGGTGAGACCAGGTTCGGGTTCAGTGGGTCCCTCCCCGCACGCGTGCAGGTGAGTCAAGCGGGGGCAGTGGGAGAAGAGCGCGAGGGAATGGGGGAACAGGAGAGGGGCGGCGAGGGGGATGGAGAGGTGACTGAGGGAGGAGAGGGAGGAGAGGCACGGAGGGAAGGTGCGGTGAGAGGGGAGGGAGAGAGACGTGAGGCTAGGAAGGGAGGCCAGGCACATATGGTGGTGCTGCTGGTGCTGGTGCAACGAGGAGGAGGAGGAGGAGGAGGAGCAGCAGCAAGCAGGAGCAGGAGGCGGAGGGAGGGGTTGAGTGAGAGGCATGGGGGGGAAGAGGGCATTGAGTCCCGTGCTCTCCCACGCGCCTCCCACGTTGGTGGTCAGCTGCTGCAGGCGAGAGAGCGACCACACCGAGCCAGGCACCCAGCACACCACCTCGTCCTCGCGACCCCACTCGTCCCCCACCCATCCACCATCCTCCTCCACCTCCTTTCCACTCCCTCCTCCACTCCTCTGCCCTTTCCTCCCCCATCCCCTCCCTTATCCACTCTCCCATCACGGTATTTTCTCCTTTTCTCTGCAGGCCCTTTCTGCTTCGCACACACGAGGAAAGTCAAGGACCGCAGGCTCGGTCCGAGCCCAGCAAACAGGTCCGGCGAGAGAGGCTCGGAAAGTCCCGAGGCGAGAGAGCCAAGGAGAGGTGGAGGAGGGAGAGGCGGGAGAGAGAGTGGAAGGGGCGGTCGGAGAGGAGGAGGGGATGGCGGGGTGCAGAGAGGAGAGACGGAGGGAGCGGAGGGAGGAGAGGTGGGGCAGGAGGTAGGGAGGGAGGTCGCGGAGAGGGAGGGAGAGGTGGGCGAGACGGGAGAGGAAGCGGTGCGACTTCCTCACGTATATCGATGTATTTGTTATTGAGGTTGAAGTGTAGTGAGCGCAGATGTGGGCAACCCGTTATAAGCCGCCCCACCTGTTCCAGCTGAGCTGCCTTCTTCCATCCCCAATCCCTGGGCTCCTTCAAATCCTCGTGCAACGGACACCACCCGCGCTCTGGCTGCGCCTGGAGGCACAGCGACCGCAGGCTTGCGCACGACTGCCAGATGACCCGCATCAGCTCCCGGTGAGAGGCGAGAGTCACGGGGATGTGCAGGGACGTCACCGTAACGTGCTTCTGGTTTCGTGTCAGCAGCTGCTCTAAACGCATATGAAAGTCCGTGGGGTCCCAGAGGCCTCGGATCTCGCAGCGGTCGTTCGAGGATAGGAACGAGCCGTCGCCGTGGGGCCAGTGGGAGTCATCGGAGCAGCAGAAGCGAAGGGTGCCCCGCACCACGCCCGTCAGCTGCTCCATGCCCAGCAGCTCGTCGCCCAGGAAGGGACCTGCTCGCCGCCGCCCATCTGCTGCCGCGTCCCCTGCTGCTGCTTCCGACGCTTCTGCTGGTGCTGCTGCTGCTGGTGTTGCTTCTGCCGCTATTGGTGCTTGCACTGCTGCGCCGATTGCAGGCGGCGATTGTAGCGTTGATGACGAAGACGAGTCGGAGGGGGAACGAGGGTCAGAGGCCCTTGGATTGTGAGTTGACTCAAGGGATACCCGCGCCACTGGGCGCTCCACTTCTGCACGCGTCTCCCCGCACGGCCTGGGCAGGTCGTCCGTCGCAAGGCGCGGCAGGTAGTCCGTCGCAAGGCGCGGCAGGTCGTCCGCCGCAAGGAGCGGCAGGTCGTCCGTGTCCACATTCTCGCGCGCGACGGGCAGAACGGCTCTTGTAACAAGCGCCATTTGTGGCGGTTGCTGGCGTCCGACTCCTCCGAGTCAGCGCCGTTCAACAGCAAATTGGTGGCAGCCCGCCATCGCAGCGAGTGCGCGTCGAACACGAACGCGAGCCCGGTGGAACTTCTAGTAGCTGGACTCGCGCTTGTCACCATTGCGGCACGGCCGCTCGCGAGGATCCGCGTCGCACTAGGAAATGTGACACGAGGGAATGCGACAGTCGCAACCTTTTGCCTCTAAGGGTTGGCGCCGGAGAGCGTTGGCGGATGGAGTATACCGAGCAGCGAGGTCGGCGATAGAGCGGAAAAAGGAGTTGGTAACAGGCGTTGCTAGTTTCAAAGCGAGCAGCTGGCAATTTAGAATGGCCATTCTAGTGACCAGATCTCGAATGCAGGGCAGGTTTCAGGTTTCGCGAAACTCAACACGAAGCAGGAAACCGGAAATCTGCGATTTTGTATGATGTCGCACAAGGGACCCTGTCGCAAACGGTGAACTTTTGTTGTGGATGTGTCGTGCGGCAAACCCCAGAATTCCTGCAAAGTCCACGTTGACCAACGCGAATTCTCATACCGCGCCCGAAATGTGGTGTGTGAATGGGATAAGATCAACGGACGAGGTCTTGAGGGGTTTTGCAGAAGCCTAGGCAGGAATGATATTCCCAACCCAGCCCAGCCCAGGTTTTGTGAAAGAGGTTAATCATATTGTAAGGAAATGGTTTTTTCCTTATCCCAGGTTTTAGTTAGTAAGGCGTACATTGCTATAACGGGGTTGTCGTGCAGTCTGCCACGAAATTCAAATCGCGGCTCCCAAGTGTGGCCTCCTGACGAGCCGCATACTTTTCGCTCGCCTTACAGTTTCCTGCCAGAATATGAGCGTCCCGCGACAATTTTCAAACCACACGTCTCAGATATGTCGAGCCTCGACCGTGTGCTCCAGGCCAGTACCCTTGCTGTTTTGATGTCTCATTGTATTGTTTCCTCGCTACTCAATTATTCGGCACTCGCTCTTTGCGCTTGATTACACCTGGTCATCAGAGCCATCCACCTCTCAGCCTTGCGCCATAGTTTTGCTACCATACCGACACTTAAGGGGCTGACGCCCTGTGCTTACTACATATCCGATGTCTTGGTAATATTAATCGATAATAACATATAGTCACGACTGTGTTCGCAGTGCCAGCTTGCCAAAAGCCGCCCAAAACATCTACGAAATGGTAGAGTCGTCGCCGTCTAACGCCATGACTGCCGAAGAAAGGGCGGCAGCACTCGAGGAAGTGCGACTCGCTAACGAGCTTTATCAACAGAAATTGGAGCGTCTGCATGCTGAAACTGTCAAACATATATTGTTATGTTTGTATAGACTGTATAGGTTTGTGTCTTAGAGGGTACTGCTTCTATGTTATATTCCCTTGTACTCTCCCATTCTAGTTTATTCTCTCATTTCTGATATGGTATCATGAGTATTTAGGTCCATCTAGCCCGCACACGCTTCCGCCCCAGGCCCTAGCCGCCCTCGTGCCCATTCCTAGCCGGCCCCTTGCGCCCCTAGAGCCGTCGCGCCCGTCCTAGCCGCCCCCCCCCCCCCCCCCCCCCCCCCCCCCCCCCCCCCCCCCCCCCCCCCCCCCCCCCCCCCCCCCCCCCCCCCCCCCCCCCCCCCCCCCCCCCCCCCCCCGAGCCGTCGCGCCCGCCCTAGCCGGCCCCCTGAGCCGTCGCGCCCGTCTTAGCCGGCCCCCTGAGCCGTCGCACCCGTCCTAGCCGGCCCTTCGCGCCGTCGCGCCCGTTCCTAGTCGGCCCCTGAGCTGTCGCGCCCGCCCTAGCCGCCCCCTGAGCCGTCGCGCCCGTCCTAGCTGGCCCCCTGAGCCGTCGCGCCCGTTCTAGCCGCCCCCTGAGCCGTCGCGCTAGGGCCTAGCCGGCCCTTGTGCCTGTCGCGCCCGTTCCTAGCCGGCCCTAGTGCCCGTCGCGCCCGTTTCCTACCCGGCCCTCGCGCCGCCCCTCGTCTGCCCCGCGCCCTCTCCTAGCGTCCCCCTTCGCAACCGGTCCGCGCCGACCCCGAGTTCGTTTCCCGCCGGCCCACCTCCGACTCGTGCCCGGCCCGTCCTTCCCGACCTGCACTGTACGGCATCGCCCGGCACCGCTCAACACCGCACAGCACCGAACAGCACCGACAGCACGCCCTGCATCGCACTGTACCGCTCTGCACCGCACAGCATCGCACTGCACTGAACTGCACCGCTCTGCACCGTTCCTGATGGCGGACGTGCTTCGCTTCGAGACTGAGGGTCAGCCGCTTGAGTTTGACGCGTGGCTGGTCGATCTCCGCGCCATCTCACTGGTCAGCGGCAGGATGGCACTCACTGTCTGTCTACCTTGACGGTACGCTCCCCTGCCCTGACCCCCCTGCTGCGCTGCCCGCTGACCCCTCGTCTGCTGAGCGTGAGTCCGCTGCAGCTGCTGCCCTTGCGCAGCTTGCTATCAGCGATGCCCTCCCCTGACTGAGCGCCCTCGCTTTAGGTCCGTCACCACTATGCAGGAGTTCCTAGATAATGTTGTCCAGCGCTATTCCACCCCGCCCGCTGCCTCGGAAGGTCGCCTGATCCTGCCGATGCTCTTCCCTGACCTTGCGTCGTTCCCCACTATCCCTGTGCACGATTAGACGCAGCCTGGCACTCTGCCTGCACTGAGACCCAGCTTAGAGCCCATCAGCCGCCCCTCTGCTCTGCCCTCTACGTGCTGGCCACCCGCCTCCCTGACCCTCTTGCCACTGCCTGCGACCGCTTCCTTAGCGTCCATCCTGGTGACCTCACCCTAACCGACTTTGTTGACACCCTGTCTGCCATAGAGACCCGCCACTGCTATATTGCCCAGACCAGCGGTACTGTTCCGGTCCCTATCTTTTAGGGCTGTGCCCCTGCTCAGTGCACCTTCTCCGACGGTTCCGCTGCTGTGGCTGAGACTGCAGCTGCAGCGCAGTTCGTCCGGGGAAGGGCCGCCGCCCCAAGGCTGGGCGCGCGGAGGAGGCGGGGGTGCAGGTGGAGGTGATGGTGGAGTCGGGTCGCCAGGTGGTGGCGCGGACAAGGGACTGTCCCTGGTGTAGCCGAGCAGCCGTCCCAGCAGCCGCAGCCGTCACAGCCGGAACAGCACCACCCGCCGCAGCAGCCCCAGCACCAGCCGCAGCAGTCGCAGCAGCAGAGGCGGGCGAGTGGTCTCCCGCTTGGGTGGCCTAGCGCTGGTGTCTGGCTATTCACATTGGACACTGTGGCCCCCCCCAGTTTGGACGCCTCCCTAGGTAGCTGCGTCGTCTCCGTTGCAGCGGCCTGCTCGTGTCGGTCGTTACTCCACCCGACCCTCCTGTGGCACCACCGTCTAGTCACCCTGCGCTCCCCGCGTCTGCGTCACATGTCACAGCACGGTCTTGTCCTCGGTCTCCTAGGTCGTTCCCCGAGTTGCCCCCCTCCACATCGCCACCGTGCACGCCCTGCGTCGAGGGTCGGCTCCGCTGTGCCCTCACTCCTCCTCTTTCCCCCCACCACCGCACCGCAACAGACCCTGCACATGGACGTCTTGGGCCCTGCCCCCGTCCATGGGCCGCGTCGAGAACGCTACTTCCTCGTGCTTGTCGACGACTACACGCGCTACACCAGGGTGTTTCCCTTGGAGCGGAAGGCCGACTTGCCTGACGTTCTTATCCGCTGGCTAGTCTCTGCGCGTGTCCACCGCGGTCTCCCTGTCTGGCGTCTTCACTCCGACCGTGGTGGCGTGTTTACCTCCGGCGTCCTTGGTCGCTTCTGCCATGCGGAGGGCATCACCCAAACGTTCACCCTGCCGGACTCCCGCAGCAGAATGAGGTCACTGAGCGACTCATTGTTTGGTCATGGAGGTGGCTCGTACCTCCATGATCCACGTCGATGCACCCCATTTTCTGTAGCCGTTCGCGGTTCGCTACTCCGCTCACCAGCTTAACCTCTAGCCGCACCCTCAGCAGTCGCAGGTTTCGCCGACCCTTCTTTGAACCGGGTCTCCTCGTGACGCGTCTGCGTTCCACGTCTGGGGCTGTCTTGCTCACGTTCGTGCCTCTGGCACAGACAAGCTTACTGCCCGCACAGTCCCTGTGGCTTCCTTGGTTTCCCCCTTGACTCGTCTGACTGGCACTTCTACCACCCGCCGTCCCTCCGTTTCTTTCACTCCCGTGACGTCACCTTTGACGTGTCCGTCTCCTTCTACCACCGCTTTCCCCAGCGTGGTCCCCCGGTTACCCCCCCCCTGTTCCTAGTTCCCCCGTCCCTAATCGCACCTGCCCTCCCCCTCCCCGTCATGCCCCGTCTCGTGTGTCTCACGTTACCCCCTCCCGTCGGTTGTCCCGGTTGAGGATTCTGCTGACTGTTATGGTCCTGTGGCGCAGTCCTTGCCGCCTGGCCCTCCCTCGATGTCTCCTCCTCCGCCGCCTCCGCAGCCGTTGTCGCAACCGCAGGAGCGGTTGTCGCCGCCGTAGCAGCAGGCGTCGCCGCTGCTGTCGCAGCCGCCGCGGCTGCCGTTGCAGCCGTTGTCACCGCCGCTGTCCCAGCAGCCGTTTGTCGCCTCTAGGGGTGCTGGAGTTGGGGGTGGTACCGGTGCTGGAGGGGTTTCGGCTCTGGGGGTGTTCCTTCTGGAGGTGCAGGAGTGGAGCCTTCCGGAGGTAGCCGTGGAGCAGCTTGCGGCCCCGGTGTAGGTGTTGTGCCACCGCGATTGTAGTCACCGCCGGTGTCAGCCCTTCGCCTGCTCGGCCTTCCGTCCCCTGACCCTGCGTCTGTTCCTCTCCTGTCGTCCCCTCCTCTTCCTGTCTACGGCCTGTGTTCCCTCCCCCGGACTCGTCTCCGGCTCATCTCCCCCCTCATTCCCCTCTTGTGTCTCCTCCTCTGTTTCCTGACCCGACGCCTCCGTCTCACGTCTGGTCTCGCAGTCACTCCCGTGCTCGCCCTGTCTCCCTTGTCCCGCGCTCTCACCCTATGTTGCTTCGTTCCCACTCGTCTCGTCCTCCCCTACTGCCGTCGCCTCCTCCGTCCTCCCTTGTTGTTGCGCCTCCCCCTCTGTTTGACTACCTTCGTGCCGCTCGTCCTCTTGTTCCTCGGGTCCTTGCCTCTCTCATTACCGACCCGTCTGTTCCTGTTTCACGTCTTGACGCTCTTGTCGCTGCGGTCGCTGACTTCGCCTCTACCCGCCGCCTTGACTACGCCACCGCTCTGGTCTCCGACCCTGCCTGTCCTTCGTCTGTCGGGGGTGCTCCTGCCCTCGGCAGTG